TTTCCCTAATATTAGTTCACCATCATCAAATTCTTTTTTAGAAAAAAAAAAAGAGTTAAACACCAATGGATGAATATGATCACTCCTCTATAAACTAAATTCAGACAGGAAGCAGAACAGAGATGACCAACACCTGGGGATGCATGCAGTTACTCTTGATAAGGCAGAAAAAATATGTTGGGGATGATGAAAAGGTTTTAGGTACAGTGATGCAATAAAATAAATAACAGTCACAAATGGTTAAAACATTGACAACAATAACTGAAATACAAAATAAGCTAGTCTATAACACCAACCCTAATTTGACAGTAATTTATTCTAATTTTCAATTATTTCAAAACTGATGTAGTCAAACATAAGAAAATACAACCCCACTAGATAGTGAAGTCTTAGTTGAATGGTTTAAGGAATATCTAATTCTGCTCTTTACAAGGTCCCTGACCTCTGCACTCAGAAGTGTCTGCACTTCATGCCCATGGGGGAAGGAAAATTTCTATTGTGCGTGTGCACAGTCCTGTGACACAGCCTTCTTAGCAGGTACAGACCCACTTCAACTTTGTTAGTAAAGAAAACCGACCAGAAAACTGTAGCAGCCAAAGGAATAACAGGTCCAGGCACTCTTCAGTAAGCTAAGACCATATGCAAATACACAGATTAATAGTTATGGGTTAATAATTAAGAGAGAAGTAGCCAGTAAGAAGCCTAAGCCATTGGCCAAACAGTATATAAATTTGTTTTCAAGTTATTACTACAACTGTGGTCATATTAAGTACATTAGCATTTCCAGAAGTCTCTTCCATCTTTATCTGAAGTAGCCTCCTCTACTCTTCATTCTATGATGGCCAAAAATATTCTTCCTAAAGAAGGTCACATCTGTCTGCAGATTGATGTTGGAGGGAAAGAAGAGACAACAATATACCTCCTGTCAACTATTTGACAATGTCTTGGGAGAGAGCTGTTTCTGTTAGCTTTTATTTTTTAAAAAACTTTTAGATGTATTTCTGTGCATGGGTGTTTCATCTAAATAAATGTATGTGTGTGCATGCCCAGTGACCCTGGAGGTCAGAAGAGGGCATCAGATCCTTTGGAACTAGTGTCATAGATGGACGAGAGCTACCATGTAGGTGATGGGAACTTGCAAGAGCAGCAAGCATTTAGTGGCTGAGCCATCTCTCCAGGCCTATCAGCTCATAATTTTAAGAACTATTTAAGAATACTCACACGATGAGTTATATTTATAAACCTCCAGAATGACCACAAATTTTAACTTCCAAACCAGGGCGTATCTATGAATTTAGTTATGCTGTGATAAAAGGTATAAGATAGGCCAGGTAATGTCGGTGCACGCCTTTAATCCCAGCACTCGGGAGGCAGAGGCAAGCAGATTTCTGTGGGTTCAAGGCCAACCTGGTCTTATGAGTTAGGTCTGTTCCAAGCAAATCTAGACATGTAGTCATTTTCTTTTTTCTTTTTTCTTTTTTTGAAGATATTTATTTATTTATTGTGTATACAGTGCTCTGTCTGCATGTTTGCCTGCAAACCAGAAAAGGGCATCAGATTTTATTATAGATAGTTATAAGCCACCATGTGGTTGTTGGAAATTGAACTCAGGACCTCTGGAAGAGCAGTCAATGCTCTTAACCTCTGAGCCATCCCTTCAGCCCCATCATTTTATCTTCTTAATAAGAAAAGACTATTAACATCTAAAAATATGGACATATCATTATTATTGCTGTCTCATATGTTTAGAGAAAATTTTTTAAAAGTTAACATTAAAATAAATTTAAAGAAAGTCTCAAAAGGGTTTTCCTCCTTAATGTTTCAAAATTTCTAAAGAAAGCAAAAAAAAAAAAAAAGAAAAAAAAAGAAAAACATAGTACCTTTCAAGAGGTAACACCGGAAGAGACCTTACCCTACACAGCTTTCTTTTACAAGATGGATGTGATTCTACAGTGGTTTAAATGGCCATGATTACAGAATAGAGTGTGCTCGTGGTTCTATGGCAAATGTCACCTGAAAATATAGCTCTCGTTTAACTGGTACGCACCTACACAAACACGCAGTTCAGCTTGTGCAAAGCTGAGTGAATGTACTATTTGGTAATCTGAAAGTCACCTCTGGTTCTATGGAAACAAATACACAGCTAGCTAGTTCTACCAGCTAACATACTCAGGGAATGCCAAGTGTACACAAGACTAGCACTGTGGGAGACACAGATGGACATGTCTTATACTTCTGGCTACAGCGCACACAGCAGTAAAAATAGGACTAGTTCAGATGGTCTCAGTTAACAAATAATCTAGTATGAATTGATAACTCTAGTTAGCAAATTTGCCGTCCTTACATACCACTTAAATATGGATAGAAAACAGGAAGCTGAGGATTAATTATATAATTAGATTGACCTACAGGGAAATAATGGTAACATATATTACAACGTCACAGATAACCTGAACATTATTCAGCAACTTGTTATCTTTATAAAAAATGATCTTTTTTTTCATTTTATTTACTTTGTATATGGAAAGGGGTGGTGGAGGTAGGGAGTCAAGGTCAAGAGGTCAGTCCTCTCCTTTCACATGTGAATCCTGAGAATCAAAGTCAGATCATCAGTCTTGGTAATAAGTGCCTATACCGAGTGAGCCATCGTTCCAGCCTAAGGCTTACTGTTATTACAAACGAGGGTAAAATGACAAAGAAATGAGTGTAATCTTGCCATTTGATAGAATGAAAAACTTCCATATACCACCATTGCCTATCAGCAATATCCTACAGTTTCCTAATGTTTTTAACAGCAAAGTATTCTCCACTATTTCATACCTTTTCCCTTCTGCTTTCATTGGCAAACTTCTCTTAAACATGCATATAAAAATGTTAGCCCTATGAGGATACTGCTTTATTAGCAATAAGAACTTTTTTTTTTTCATTTTCTCAGTCACTTGCGAAAACATGCATGGAGAACATTATGCTAGGCAAATCAAAAGAGATACTAGGAGTCAAACACTGACAAACAAACTCACATGTGAAATCTAACAGACAAACTCAGAGAAATGCAGAGTAGAATGGAAGTTATCAGAAGCTAGGATGAGAGCTGGAAATGAATGGGTAATGTTGTTTACTTAGGGTACAAAGTTTCAGTCTTACACATTTACTGTACGGCAATGATTACAGTTAATTACAACTACTTATTTCAAAAGAGTTAAAAGAATAGATTTTTAGGCTAGAGAGACACCTCAGCTGGAAGGGGACATACTGCTCTTCCAGAGGAGCCGCAATCAGTTCCTAAAACCCCCATCAGGCAGTTCAAAGCAGCATGTAACTCCAGGTACAGAGGGATCCGTACCCCTGGCCTCTGTGAGCATCTGAACATATGTGCATATACCCACACACAGACACACACAAATTATACACATAATGAAATTCAAACTATGTAAAGGAAAGATAGATTTTAAGTAGTTTTATCGTGGCTGGAAAGATGGTTCAGCAGTTACAAGCACTGGCCTCTCGCAGAGGACCTGAATTCATTCCCAGCATCCACATGGCAGCTCACAACACAGTCTATAATTCCAGTTCCAGGGGATCCTACACCCTCATACAGACAAATGTCCACATAAAAATAAGAACAAATGAGTAGGTTTATCATAAAACATGTTGAGTATGTGAAATGAAGGTATGTTAATGAGCTTAAAATACTTCCATAATGTAAATACATAAACCAAAACATGTTGTGCCTCATAAACAAATACATTTTTGTGGATTAAAAGTAAAAATTTTTTAAGATTTTTAAATTTTCAAAAAGAAACTTCAATACTAGTAAAGATTTTTAGTATGAGTCAAGTTCAACATATTCAAAATTTCATTATTTTTGCATCTTGTCACTTTTTTTCTTCAGAGAATAAGGGCGTCATTTAGGAACCACATTATATTGTCATTATGAATCACCTAAGTCCCTTCCATCTGGCTAATTTTCAACAAGTACTCAAGACTCACAGGTCTGGTCTAAGCTGGACATGGAAATGGTCTGTGCTCCATTTGGTTAGAAACACTTCCTTGGAGAGGAACATCTGTCCCTACTACATTTCCCTCTACTCCAACATAGCAGTTCTCTAAAGCCACACACCATTTCTCATGTTCTCATATTATTTAAGGACACAGGGCAGACAGAGGAGCTGACATTTGCAGGTCAAGGATGAGCACTCGGGAAGAAGCAACCTTGCTCTGGACTGAACACAGCAAGGCACCCACAGCAAGCAGCTCACTCACAGTGCACAATAGGTGGGAGCCACACACAGTACATAAAAAATAATTTTATTAAGAGAAGACAAATCATAATACATGTTTCCTTATAATTAAACTAGGACCTGAAGCTCCCAGGGAAGAATGTAATTTAAATCTCAATCAAAGCTGGATAGGGGGAGAAGCACTGAAAATTTAATGAAAGAAGGAAGGTAAGAAAGTCCACTGGGAGAGCTGTGGAGACAGATGGCTTGCTATTTCCTGAATTACTAATGCTCTGGGTTTCTAACTATCAAAAGTAGTTAAAAACATGATAAAACTGACTTTATGTCTTCTTTAAAGAAAGAAACATTAAATGCCCAATGTTCAGTGGCCATATCTAAATGAAAATCATCACACAATCACTGATCACTAGACTGATTCCAGTCTCACAAGATAGCATTTTTTTGGATCTATTTAATTCTAACAGTAACTTTAGAGCCTTTTACAACAGCAACTTCAATTTGTAGTTATTATTGTACTTCAAAGTCAATATTGTTACCTGTTTATTCTTTTCTACTTTAAAATACTATTTCTGCTTGGCTGAAATAACAAGATACAATAATAAATAGTAAACACAAGAATAAATAGCAAGATTCAGTGTGAATGTACCAAAGACAAAATGTTATTTGTAATGTAGTATAACCAATCAAAGCAGTATTTCCAGATATATGTTTTCACTTTAGGAAGCACTAGGTAATCAAAGGCCTCTCCCCACTTCTTACCTGGAGGGGGGATCAGAGGTGGGGCAGTGCTGACAGTTGGAGGAGGGGGAAGAAATGGAGGCGGTGGAAGGTGAGTAGGAGGAGCCCCTGGAGGAAAAAATGGAGGTGGTTTGCTGAAATTGTTGTCTACTTCAGTGGCAGATCTGTCAGAAAGGACCTAAAATTAAAGCATAATTAGAAAGATAAGTAAATGTTCTAAGTTGAATCTTATAAGTTCACTTTATTTACTCCAAAAAGTGAAACGAAAGATGGCTTTAATTCTCACACTATTGGGGAAGGGGTACTATTTCAATGTAATGTGTGCTTGTATGCACATATGTGCATATACACTCACATATCTACTTTTTAAAATGTTCAAACTCAAAGTCTAGGACAAGAACTAGACTACCAAAAATTCTTTCACTAAGAACTAATCAAAGCATTCCTAGTTATAAACAAATACTTCATAAACACAATACAGCAAGTGCCACATTTTAGTCTCAGGCAAAATTCAATACTGGAATTAGTTATAGCAATGATCAATTTAGATCTAGCACTGAGAAATTCACATGCAAGTAGGCCAGGCGTTTGAGGACCTAATCTCAGCAAATGGTGAAGTGTTAAGCAGTGCTAACAGGTGGAAAATAACTTTCATGTGAGCCTCTGTTAAGAGCAAAAGTTACCATTGAACAAGAGTGCAGACAGTGCTGCCTATGTGACTAGCTAGGAACAGGGAAACCCAAACTTACTGAAGCAATGCAGGAAGGGGACTACCACAAATTGGGACTTCTAACGGTCACATGACAAGAGTCTGACATGAATAAGGTTTACAAATAGCAAAGCCAACTAAAGCAATATGTATTCACAATCTTGAATTCTTACCAAAGCATACCATTTAAATATGGAATTCTTTTTATTAACTTTTTTCTACACTTGAGTACAATAATTTTCTGAGTGCTCTACTCATAACCTACTAAAATTGGAAAGCATTTTAAAAAATCATAACATTTTAATGGTAGGAAGAACTATCTTCTACTTTACAAAAATTACCTTTAGAAATGCTAAGAAGCACAAAATGCTAAAAGCGCATTTTATATACTTTATTGACAATGAACACCTAGGTGGTAGAACTCTAGGTAATTTCCCCTTCACTTTCTTTTCAATGAAGTTATACAGTATGCTTTATAACAACCAAAGGGAAACTTCATTCACAGAAATTGAGAGGTTATAAATTCTAAATGGAAAGTTTTTCTAACAAGTATAAATAAGGCCAATGGTTTTTCATATGAAATCCCTTCATAACAGGGAAAGCAACTAACACAGACTAGCACTATAGAAGTATACATACATACATACATACATACATACACGCATATATTCCATCAATTAAACCAGAATACAGAACAATTGTTTTAAAATACGAAACCTGTATATTGCTGTTTTCGTTTGCCCGCCGTCTTCCTTCTACTCGGCTGATGGTTATTGTTTGACCAATGACATCAATTGCACCAGGTAATCTCCTGAAACATAAGAGTTGGAGCAATTCAGTTTCATCTAATTAGATGATTGAAGAACAATAAAAACATTAATAAACAGAGTTTATGGTATACTTTTAAAATAAAAATATATTGAAAGAATTTTTCTGAAAGAGATTCTTACTACTTTGTAATCTGATTTTTAAAAAAAATATCATTTTACTAAAGTAGTTTGCAAACATAGAACCAGATAGTAAATGCTAGAGCTGGTGAAATAAAATTTCTTAGGCACAACAATTCCAACAAATAATTATATTCCTCACACACTTAGAGCTCTCCAGAAAGGCTTGAAGAGACAATGGCCATCTTCACACAAACACACCTACATTATTCTCTTTAGTGTTATATTCCAGGCTTTGAAACCTTAAAAGGAAAAAGGAAACCATTTTTTTTCCTTTCTAATGACTGCCCTTTAGATAGCCACTGTAAGCCTGGCTTACCTGTCCTCCTGTCCTCGGTATTTACGATCCCTCTCAAGTTTGAGACATAAGGATAAATGGTCTACTAGAAACCACACTACAAACCTAACAGAAACACTCAGTAGGCTACTTCTTTTTAAACAAAAAATACCATGGAGTTGAGGAAGGACTTTTAAAAGCATATATGCTGAACAAAAAAGAGGAAATCATTTGCAGAAACAGGCTATAAAAAGTTGATGCAAGAAGTGTTTCTTTCTCCTTTCAGTCCTAACACTTCAAACTTTAAAGTTTCACAGAAGAAAAAAAATCCTTAAAAGAAACCCATTAAAATTTAAACAAATACAAAAATTAGTGTATATCTGTTGTATATGGTAACATCAAAGTGCAGAGTACAATTAATTGGCATAATAACTGGATAGCAGAATCAATTTTCATGCCTGAAACCTTCTAATTCCATGAACTAAGTACACTTCCTTCCAATAAGGTAATTAATTCACCTCTGAAAACACTGGACCTTTTTTAGAAATAAGCATTAGCAAGTTTGTTTCCAGGAACTATTATTTTACGGCCATGAGAATAAAGAGAGTCCATCACTGAAGTTCACAAGGATATGAAGATGTCATCCAAAATACAAGTCAGGATCCTTCACTATCTTCTAAACCAGACCCACCTATCTAGTGAAAAGCCCAGAAACAAACCACTGTCAACACTGTCCATTTCGTACTTAAACTTTTAGTACAATAAAACAACGTTCAAGCCTTTTCTAATTTTATATGGACAATTGAGTTTCTAGCGTCCCCCATAAAAGCAATGAGCAAGACTAGAGCATACAACATAGAGAATCTGTCTAAAGATTTTTTCGTTTTTATTCAGGTATGTGCAGGGGCCCATGGAGGCCAGAAGAAGAGTGTTAGATTCCGGGGAGCTGTAGTTACAGGCAGTTCACAGCCACAAGATATAGGGTGCTGGGAATCAAACACCCCTCCTTTACAAGAACAGCAAGCCTTCTTAGCCACTGAGTCTCTAATTCATAGAACTTAACTGGAAAACACCACTACAACTGGGAAACACCCAAACTTTTACATATAGGAGGGAAGCAAATCGCCCTCCAATTTGCACCCTAAAACTAAAAATAATAAAAACTATGCAGATCATTGCTTCCTATTACAGCATATGCCCTCTGCTTTCGGATTCCAACATAGTCAGACATGGTGCTTATTTCCCTCACCTTTTACAACCAAAATTTCAACATCAAAATCAACTTCCTTTCCTATTCCTCACTACCAAATTGGTCCCCTCTCCCCGGTTTAAAACTTATTCCCATCAAAAACACACTGTCACATTTGGTTGGATTTGCATTTCAGAACGCAAATTCTCTGCTGGATAAAGGTACCCAATGAAAAGAAAGCCTCAATACAAGACTAACTTTTCTTTTTCTGTAAGGAGAATGAACTCTTAGAACTGATCGTCAGAAGTTTGGGTTCTAAAAACTCCGGAGACACCAGGAAGTATGCAGCTCTTCAGCTTTACCTAACAAAGAGCAAACTTAGTTTTCTAAGCTTTAAGTGGAGTAATCACAAGAAATGCAAGATGGTAAACACCATGTTTGTGAAAACATAACAGCGGAGAACGCAGTTTTCAGAACACATCTCCAAAAGGAGGTTCAAAATACTGCAGTTGCCTCTAGCCTGGTTTTTGAAAAAAAAACAAAAAACAAAAAACAAAAAAAACAACTAATTCACTTTTATCAGAATGAATTTGACATTTTGTGGATTATAGATATTCACAGATGTAGCAAAGAAAACAAAAGTAACATATAACAATGGAATGGTTTAAAACTCCATTAGTCCTGAGCCACATATGGGAATACACTGAATGTGAACCCATTAAGTTTCCTACTCTACCATCTTGAGTACTAAACCCAGGGACTCATGTATGCTTAGCAAGTTCTCTACCAGCTCTCCATGAAAATTCTCAGCAGTGCTTCACTACAATAAGAGCTGCTGAAACTCAGATGTCAACACAGTGCATCTCAGGCTAACTTGGCCCCCAAACCTGCTCAGTAATGCCAAGTCAGCCAGCTACTGCTGTTATCACAATTCTTAATATTAGACTCAACTGGATGGTAAAAAGCAGAGATAGAAACTAACCACTCTGGATATTCGGGTTTATCTACAGCTTAAAAAATGTTCATGCTCATAAGAGTTTCCATCTTGCAAATATCCTGCAAATATGAAATCATCTCTGAAATCAAATTAAAATATCTTACTTTGATGATTCTGATGTCTCAGAAAGAATTAAGGGCCGCTAACAAAGATAACACTGGAATATCATAATGGCAACTAGAGGTCAAATGAAGATAGACAGTATCATATGTCTATTTTATGTCTAAGCTTCCCACTTTTAGCAAGCAAGGTAAAGGCATCCTTAATGCACAGGCTTAGTGTTTATGATAAAAATAAAGCATTAGTTTACAGATTGCCTATTGGTAATTCTAGAACTTGTATTAACTGAGACCTTTACTTACATTTATAACTCATAACTTACAATACAACAACTATTTTTCTTTCTTTTCTTTCTTTCTTTTTTGGTTTTTCACAACAGGGTTTCTCTGTATTGTTTTGGAACCTGTCCTGTAGACCAGGCTGGCCTCAAACTCACAGAGATCAGCCTGCCTCTGCCTCCAGAGTGCTGGGATTAAAGGTGTGAGCCACCAACACCTAACCTATTATTCATATTTTTATATAAGAGAATGTGGATCAAAACTACCCTGTGAATTCTTTTTAGAAGAAAGTATGATAGATAGTAGTAATTTTTAAATTTTATTGGCAATAAAGCACACAAGAAAAGTGTTTTGCCTAAGAAATCCAGAGCATACATATTACATTTAAAAATGGAGTTTTGTAAGATGATGCCTACTATAAAAGAAGGAAAAGTATAATATTAAAAGCAAGTGTGATCTCATTATAAAAAGCATAATAACAAAACCCAACAAATAACCACTTAGAACTCCAAACAGACTGGAACTCAGAAATGAACAACCACCTTATGCTTTGAAGAGTACCAAAACCAGACAAAATTTACAGTATGTGCAAAACAAAACCAAGAGTGGATTCCACATATCCATTCTCAAGAGCTGTGAAAAGCAACATAGTGTGAGGCTCAGTAAAACCAGGTGAGTCCCACAGTGTAAGGTTTCATCCGGGAAAGAGCAAGTGTTCTGAACTCCCAGATACAGCTTTCAAAGAAGGACCAAGAGGTCCCAAACCTAAATAGGTGTGTGTGTGTGTGTGTGTGTGTGTGTGTGTGTGTGTGTGAAGTGCAGATAAGACTACTGGGTGAAGCAAGTTTACTTACGAGTTGTTACTACAAAGAAAATCTAGAACATTTTCTAGCTTTATATTTGAGTTTTTTCCATAATAGAGTTCAAAAAATTGGGCAGCAGACATTTCAAAGATTTATTCTCTAAGAAAAAACTAGCATTTGAATTTTTCTTATTTTAAAACAGTATTTAAGCCAGGCGGTGGTGGTGCATGCCTTTAATCCCAGCACTTAGGAGGCAGAGGCAGGTGGATCTCTGTGAGGTCGAGACCAGCCTGGGCCACAAGAGCTAGTTGCTAGTTCCAGGACAGCCTCCAAAGCCACAATGAAAAAAAAAATTAATATAATTATATGTGTGTATGTTTTTCCTGCATGCTTGCGTGTACACTGTGTGTGGTGCCTACAAAGGTAGAAGAGGCCCTGAAACCAGATAGTTGTAAGCCTCCATCTAGGTGCTGGGAATTGAACACGTATCCTCTGCAAGAGCAAAAAATGAGCTTAACCACCGAGTCATTTCTTCAACCCCCAGTGTTTGAAATTTTTATATTCTCAAAAGACAGATGTAGCTGGTGGTATCTCAATCAGGTCATGTATCTAAATATAGACACACAAAATCAACTAAAGCACACAAATGGGAATGAGGAATTTTACATGGTGTGAAGAGCACAAATCAAGAGAAAGAAATTTGTATAGAATGTCTACTGCAAAATCATCTATCATTCAGCTTGCAAATGAAGACACAAAATACCCTTCTGAAAGTGGTTTCTAATCAAGAGGCAGAAAATATAAATTAAATGAAGACACATAAAGGATTCTATGAGGCTATGAATGTCATCCAGTGCCAGTCCTCAGTATAGCTACATCTATCATTCTACTGGAAAACTCTATTGGAAGCTAGCATTTGATTTGAATGTTTCAGCCAACCCAGAATCTAAGTCAATCTGGGCAGTAATGTTGCTGGTCAGGATAAACCTAAGTCCAATCATTATGCACTAAATCAAATTATTATATAGAAGCACCACTAATACAAGTATTAAAATTCTGAATTACATTTAATTGCTAACATATTTTATTTCAAAAATTCAAAACAAATTCATTCTATTTGCCTCCACATACCAGAACCAACTTTACTTAATTTCAAATTTCTCTTGATTCCACATGTAGAATTTTAGTGTCATTTAAGCATAATTAAAGTTTGCCAAAGAAGACTACTAAAATAAGTCACCCTTTTACATTCTTTTTTTCCTTAAAGCTACTGTGTATTTTGCTGAACATAGCTTTATTTATTTAATATGTAAAAGTGTTCTGTGTACAAGCATGCCTGGTGCCTGGGGAGGTCAGAAGAGGGTATCAATTGCCTGGATCTGAAGTTGTAGGTGATTGTGAACCACCACACTGTATGCTGGAAACCACACCTGGGTCCTCTGCAAGAGCAGAAAGTGCTCTTAACCTCTGAGCCGTCTCTTCAGGCCCCCACCCCTTTTCATTCTTAACTAAAAACACACCTACAATTGTTCTGAAAATTTTAACCTTATCAGTTACTAGATGGATAGTTAGGCTATTTTTGAAAGGTCAAAAGATTGTCTTTGACATGAATGCCTACTTTATTCTTTGACATGAATAACTTATTTTCTAATAGCAAATCTCTATTAGAAATTAGAACTGACTAGAAATTTTTACAACTCACTAATAATATATAATTAAGCCTCTACAGGGAAAAAAAAAAAAAACCATGAAAATCAAACTTTCTTTCGACCGTGTTGTCCCCCCTTGCTTTTTGTAAAATGCTACAATCAAAAGCATCTGCCATAATTTACATATCTAAAGGCAATTAAAGTGATTATAAGCAAACTACCAAAGGATCATTAGTACATGACTCAGACATAGGAAGCATAAAATTCTTCAACACAAAACAAAGCCAAACAACAAAATTAGTCCTTGTTTGGTTGTAATTATTTAAAATCTCAAAGGACATATTAAAATTTTCCTGGTCTATACTTGTGAGTCATACACTAACATAGCATCTCATACTAACTATTGTCAGCAATGCATTCTATGGGTACAGCACTGTATCCTTCAGGAATTAAGTTACTTCCATTTCACAGACTTAGAGAAATTATAGTGTGTGTTTATGGCTGTTCAAATTGTAAATACAAAAATTCTATGGACAGTGGGTTAACAAGAGAAATGGTACAACCCAGGGCAGCTGGTAGGCCCACATACAGGAATAGCAGCTGATAATACACTGTAGCTGGATAGGATTAGATTCTGGAGTCAAATTTTTAAGTTCCAAACTAGTTCAGAAAGTTACACTTCATGCATAAGCAGTGAAAAATAGCTGAGAATATCATAAAAGAATGTATAAAAACAAAGAATTAACATGCAACAAGGGGGAGAGAAAAGTTAAGTTAGAACACCCATTAGTGTGGTTTAATGTAACAATTACATGGTATTAAAGGCCAAAGGATGAGTAAGACACATGCTGTGTGTCTCAGTAAACTGCCTCATGTGCACTCTGAGAAAGCATCAATTCAGAAAAATACGGTATAGTCTCAAAACTAGTTACCTTATTATATACTAAGAGACAAAATGATACCAATGATCTAAACATGAGGAAGTAGGCAATGTTTAAATCAGCCTTACCTTAGGTCTGGTGACTCGGCCCTCCCATATCGATCCTGCCACTTCCCAACGCTTGAACTGGCTTTTCTGGAGGCAGTACTTGTCTGAGACTGAGAAGAGGTGCTGTTTCTGGTGAGATAAATTTTCTGTGTTTTTTCTTACATACTGTTGTCTGTAACCCCCCTTGTTTTGCTTATTTTTTTTTCCCTTGGCATGCTTTTGCTAAGGCATTTTGACATGTTCCTACAGAACCATTCTTTCAAGTCATGAGGCCCTTGCTGCAGAGCTTAATGATGGAGGCATTTTAATTTAGATGTTGTTATCACCATCTTATTAATTCTACAATGCCATTAGAAATACTTCTCAACATAGTATGGTGTCTAGATGAAGAAATGAAAAAAGAATCAAGGCTATGCCCTAATAATTATCAAGAAACAAATTTCTTTGCCTTTGTAAATTAATAACCATTTCTGCTGTTTAACAAAATCTCACTCAAAACTAGCATTGTTTTCTCCTATGCTGTTCAATAACACATAATTGTCAGTACAACCAGTTAACAGTAGTACTCTGATATGTTTCATAAAAACATATGATAAACTAAAATTTCATTTCAAAGGAACAACTCTTTTCAAGTAAATCCTAAAGCTATTTTTTCTCCAGTGGCATTCTCCCTATGAAGTTTAGCTAGGCACAATGGCACTCAGAAGGCTGAGGCAGGGAGATCACCAGCTGACTACACAGAAAGATGCTATCACAAAAGTAAGTTCAGCTATTTCTATTCTTGCCAATCCTGTAAAAGATCAATGTTCTTCCAAGGCTACTTAGACATGTTTCTAAGTCTACTTCTGTAAACTGGTACCCAGGAAAAATGAACTACAAATGAACTAAAGTGAACCGTCACTAAAATTAAAGGGAAAAAAAGTGACAACTTTATGTATACCATTGAATAGCCCTGTCTTTGGCTGTGTTCAATGGTTTACATATACAAAAAGAAATTCTATCAGTAGTTATGGAGGAAAGAAATGCTAAAAGTGAACAGACCAAAGGAGCCAAGTAATACTAAAGCACATTGAATAAATGTTTTCATCATTTACCCTTATTCTAAAACAGAATAGAAAGAACTACTAATGAACCCTCAATTCTATTTTAATTGTATGTGTGTTCTAATGGCTAAGCAGAAATCCCAAATCTATTAAGCTTGTATTTGATTAATTAAATGAGTAATACACTGAAGCTGTTGAGAGCTGGATTACTGCTATGAGAAGAGAGACTAATTCTGAGAAAGAAAGCACTTTGTGGTGTCAAACTGGATGTTAAAGAATGATTTCCTGACTAAAACTTTATTTAAAAATATGCAAGTGATCTTACCCCTAGCTGTTAAGTGCTAAAATGGTGGTGAAAATAAATAATGACAGACAATGATCATAGCTACAGCCTGATCTCCTAAGAGGGGTAAATATCTTGGGGAGAAATCAGGGAAGTACAAGATGAGCTTGGAATGCCCAGCTAATTCCAAGAAGTAGAGATCATACATAGTCAAAAGCAATTTTGAAAAGGCTCCCACTGGCCAAATTTGGAAAATGTGACACATCAAAATAGATTACAGTATATATATAAAAATGACACAGAGGATTCACACACCATAAACACAAATAAACCATGTTTATAAGAAGGGCAAGCAGTTTTCCTAAAACTGGACAACATTCCTAATGCAGAAATTATTTCTTAAATACAAAGGGAGAAACAGGAATTTGATGTAGAACCAGAAAGGCAGAACTGCAAGTAACTCACTAGATTTATCATTATTGATGATATTAAAAAAAAAAACCAAAAAACAAGTGGGGCAAACTGAGATTATTTATCTTGAGGTTGGTGCACTGAAGAGGAGAACACGGCATCATTTACACACTATCCTAGTGCACAAGCCCATATAATAATGAGGAGGAACTGGCAAAGCCAGACTGAGGAACCATCTCTAAAACAGCCAGAACACATTTTTCTAAAATACAAGGCTGAGAAGCTACTTTAGATGATAAACACCTAAAGAGAGAGCTCAAATGAATGACCCTGGATTGAGCCCAAGGTCAAAAAGAAAGAAATTCAGTAAAGAACAATACTGAGGTAACCGGCAAAATTGATCATCTGGGTATTAGATAAAAGATTGATTCAACATTAGGTTTTCCTGACTTTGATAACTGCCCTATTTACAGTTATGTCCATGTCCTTAAGAAATACAAGGTGAAGTGTTTAGAGGTTAAGAGAACACTGCATCCAATAGTTACCATCTAAATTAGTATCCAAATGGCCGAGAGAGAAGACGTTTTAAGAAGCAAACATGTTAGGACCTAGGCAACCCTGCAGATGAAAAGTTCTTGGTGCTTTACTTGCAGCTCTTAAGTCTGAATACTTGTAAAAACAAAACAGTACAAGATGAAACAACAAAGGAAGGAATAGCAAAAGTTTGCTTCCCAATCTATTTGCTGGTTTACAACAACATATTGTGTTTGTAAAACCTCATCAAGATGTAAATTAATATTACTTTTCTGTAGCTATGTACTTCAAAAGAAAATAAATAATATGAAAACCTAGATAAAACAAAGCATTCTGATATAGTAAGCGTAGAACTTTCCTTGGGTATGCACACCTGCTGAGTACTACAGAAGTTACAAGCTCACTATCTCTACCAATACCAAATTTAAGAAGTTCTCCGCAAACATCTACCTACACATTAGTAAGGTAATCTAATATTTTAGCACTGGACATCTAGTGCATGGGCCAGTATCACAGATCACTAATCTTAAATATCTGTTTTATGTCTCAGTACTGACAATACTATCTTCCCCCAAACTCAATAAAAATTTATTTCAAAAGATTTTATCCAATTTCCATATATATGTATCACACACACATGATTTTTAGGGAAATATTTTACAATGATTATAAAAGTCTTTGGTTAACTAAAGATAAACACAGAAAACAAACTTTCCTAATGAGGAATGAGCACTGTCCTTTATATTCAAAAGTGATGAGTAGAAGCATGCTAAGTATATGTCTTATTAGTTGCAAGGACAATTACTTATACTTTCTTAAGTAATGACAGGCCTGCTAACTTTCCCATCCTTCTGTCCCTTACCATTTTTTTTTATTTTATCTCTATGCATATCTTCCAACGTCTTCATCTCTACTTGGATCCACAGTCATTACTATTATCACTCTTTGAATACATATTCGCTTTTTGGGCCCCTCTATCCCTTAGTTATTATCTGGTATAACCTCTACCCATTAAAAGCATACTTGACTTGGCTCAAGACCATGGCATCAATCTAACAAACAAACTGGATCATAGTGCTTCTCTCTTTATGCCATTAACTTTTCATTTTGCTAACTCATTTCCATCAACATATAAAAACATTGCTTCTCCCATTCTGAAGAAAGCCTTCAAATCTGTGTTTCCCTTCAACTATCACCAAGTGACTCTATTCTTTTTTTCCACAAAAGTTTATTCACCTACTCCAAAAAAAGACTATTTCAGCCTTCCCAAACATTAACACCCCACTCTAACATCTTTAGTCAGTCCTGGTAAGTCGGTATCTTATTTTGCTAAGAAAAAAAAAAAAGAGTAGCAATCTGAAGAGAATGTGCCATTGTTCTCATAGTCTATCTACCTGCCTATCATCATTTTTTGCCTAGGTACTTGCTACAATCTCCTACAAGGGTCCCTGTTTCTACCTTCACTGACTCTACATGATACTCTTAGCAAAGAAACTAAACAGAGACTTGAAAAGCCCCTGTATCCCACATTCTCTCCAGTTTTTTCCACTATTTAAGAAGTTCTCCGCAAACATCTACCTACACATTAGTAAGGTAATCTAAAAACAAACAGCTGTTTGCTGCCCACGAATGTCATACACTGTTGCCTTTTGCCTAAGAACAATGCTTTATAACTGTCCCCTTCCTTACTCCTTGATCACTATTATTTCCAGTTAATTCACTCTCAAGTATACCTTGAAAAATCTAGCCTCACACTTCCCCATTTCCCTGGTTCTGGCCCCATAGACAAGAGAAAATAGTCTTTAAAATTGTTCCTATTTTTACTTTTCAATTCCTCTCATTCCTGTTTTGTTTTTTGAGACAGTCCTGGCTGTCCTGGAGCTCACTATGTAGACCAGGATGACCTTGAACTCACAGAGATCCACCTGCATCTGCCAAGGCCAGGGATTAAAGGAGGATCTCTCATTTCGTAGAAACCATTCAAGTCTTTTCAATTTACCTTGTCCCTGATCTTGGTCAGAATCAACCAATGACCATCACCCCTGAATTTGTAATAGATAGAAATTTGGTCTTGCATCTTCTTGACCAATTTATCATTAGTGTTTGACAGTTGATCACTCCATATACTAACTTCTATCTTATGCTACCTTATTGGTCCCTTTGTACTGATTTCCACTCATTTCTTTTAGTATTTCAAGGCTCTGTCCTCTTCCCACTTCCTGATCAATACGTTTTTGATGGTCTAATTAAATTTCACAGCTTTACTTTAGATACCATTTGAACAGTGATCACTGTCTCAAGTTTCCATCTCCAGCCAACTCTTCTTTTTCCATAGTCACAAACCAACTTTTCCAATTTCCATTTTTATACTAAGCTAGCACTTCAACTTCTATTCCTTCAGCTGAATGACTTGTCTTCTTTCCAAAAAGTCATTCCTCTTGTAATCCTCCCCATCTCTTAAAAGACAACCCATCATGACATCTTTGTTGAGCAAGACAAAAAATCCTTGAATTCATTGAGAAAACTTCTCTCTATATTATCTATAACTAATCAACCCAGGCATGCTATTCATTCCAAGCCTTTGGAATACACCCAGGAGCTAACTATTCTGACCATTCATCATACCTGGGTCCAGGACACCATTATCTCTTGCCTAAATATTTGTTGTGATCTCTTACAGCTTATTCCCTTTTCTATCACTATTCACACTGTAAGCTGCTCTTAGTAAAGCAGCTAAACTGAGACCTGAAAACCTCATATTGGCCTGCCAAAAATACCACTGTGGCTCCCCGTTCATTTCAAATAGAGGAAAACACAAAGCAAAGCTCTTGTATCATTACAAGATGTGATACAATTCAACATGCTCCCCACACAAAGAAAGGGAAAGCAAAAGGAGACAAAGACTCCATGACTTTCAAAGAGTTTCACTTTAATAATAAGTATCTAGAGAATGTTTTCATGTGACACACAAAGTTCCACAACACTTTACAGAACTTAGTTAATATGACACACGAAGCTAGACTGCAATGGAAGTACTATTACTACATTTCAAAATTAGGAAATCCAGACCTAACAAAATTAGAGATTCTGCCCAAAGATACTCAACTAGTAGACTGCTGAGTTAGAATTTAAACCCCAGAAATCTAAAGAAAGATCCCAGCCTCTTAACACAACTCCAAAGCAAAGCACACAGAAACTCAACGAAACTAAGTTGACCTTTTACAGAAATCCCAAATCCAAACCACTACCTATTAAAGGATCAATACTTGTTAGTTTCTGTAATTGTTTAATCAACTGTCTTAGGAAATTTCATTTAGTTCAAATTATAATATCTGAGGTATTTCTATAGCAATCCATAAAATTCTTGGCTCAATTTTAAATATTTCATTTTGGATTAAAGCTTCAAGAATCTTTGTTTTAGCTGGTCATGGTAGCATATGCTGTTAATCCCAGGACCTGGGAGGCAGAGGCAGGCAGATCTCTGTGATTCTGAGGCCAGTCTGGTCTACATAGAAAGTTCTGGGCCAGCCAGAGTTTCATAATGAGACCCTGTCTCAAACAAACAAAGCCCAAACAAATAAAAGACCATTTTAGCTAGAGATGAGCTTTACTCTTCTCTAAGGTCTTTTCCCCTATTAGTGTGTTATAAAGTATAATTTCTCAGACCAGTAATAAACTGCAGAACAACTGAAGAAATACCTAAAACAGAAATTTAAGCAGGCAACAAAAGGTAAATAATCTAGCAAAGAATCTGTTATTATGGCTGAGTTGACTTATTTCATGCCCAGACTGTTACCTCGATTTAATCCAAGACTAAATTGCTGGCATCCTCAACCTTCCCTGGTCTTAGGTTATTCTTTGTTATTTTCCTTATAATGGAGTCACAAAGAAACAACTATCACATTTGAATGAAAAGGACATTTTTCGGCACAATTACTCCTTTTATCTAGCATTTTATAAACACAAAATTAGGTGTTATAGTGAAAGCAAAGAATGCCATGAGACTTTTATGGGTGAAATTTCTATCATTTCTTTTACAAAAATCCCTTTAAGTCCATTGAACTAGACCTTGGAAGTCCAATGAATCTTTATGTGACAATCATGTACACTTTGAGCAGCATGAACAGTCACCACTTCTCCATGGAAGATTAATGTAACTATAGCATGCTTCATTTCTTGCAGATTCAGGTGCTTTGTTTTTTAAGATGGAATAGCAACCTGAAAAGTTTTTTTTTTTTTTTGATTCGAAGTAAATGTAAAGTCTTCCAGTTTGTGGAAGATTGGAAGCTTCATATTTAACAGAGCATTACAGCACAAACCCAGCACCAAGATCCCAGTGCTGGACTGTTAAGTATTTACTAACCTGCTTGGTGGCAGGCCCGTCTTGAACAACGATGGCGGAGAAGTAAACTCAGCTTTTGTAGATGGAAGTGCTGCTTCTTTCTCTGAATTTCCAGTTCTCCCTTGCTGCACCTTCAGAAAGAAAAATGGGCTTACTACTTTGCTTAATTTAATCGACACTCAAGCACGAGGTACTTTTAAGTCTGTAACATCTGCTCTGAAGATGTTAAATATGAAAAATGTACCGTGCCTGGATATTTATTAAAAGGGACCTATTTTAGATCAGCATTAGGTGAAATGCATCAGAGATAGATTTGAGGATCAAAATGTTCCAATTACTAAAATGTTCAATTTGTCACTTAGAAGCCCCAATACACTGTAACTCGTGGAGATTCACAAATTGCTCATGAGCAAAGTAAATGAGTCCCATGAAGCCTTGTTTCCAAGTTCAAGGAAAGCCTTGAAGTTTTCCCCTTCTGTATTCACAAGTTTTACTAACAATCTGACCATTTGCTACTTCAGTGATTTACTTTAACACCAATATAAAGAATCAGCTCCTGAAAATCAAACTGGTGTCCAAATAAACATTTCACACCTAATAACTAACATTTATGGACCTAGAGGGTACTTTCTACACTACCAGAAGAGAAAAGTAACCATCAATAATACCCAGCTACAAACCATATTATGTCCAACAGCCACTTACTGCCATGAAATACTGGTCCAACAGTGACAACAATGTTATAGGAATAATCAGCCCCTTTTGAATTAGATTTAAGCCCACTCCATTAGACGGAACCTATATCTGACACCATTAAATTGGCCAACCACCTGGGATTAGTTAGATTATGAACTGTAGGAGGAAACCTACTATTCTTACACAGCTAAAGGAATATAGCAATAATATTACTCCAAATGACACACTCCTATACTCATAGTTCAGAGTATTGCTCGACATTCATTAGAGAAGCCTATTGAAGTAGATGGTAATTAACACAGAGACCTATGACTGAACAATATGCAGAGAGTAAGAGGCTTTGGAGCACCCAGTCTTACATGCAATGTCTTTATCAACCTCCCCTCCCCACAGGCTCAGGAATCCATGAAGAAGTAGAAAACCTGTAAGAGCTAGAGGTCATGAATGATTCCAAGGAAAATGTATCATCCACACACACCAGGACTGATACACATCTAAACTCACGGAGTTTATGAGAGGCATAAGACTTGCTCAAATACCAGTACTGAGAAGGGAAAGTGGACATAACCAAGAAGCTATCTGCAATTGATAACTGCTCAGAAAAAGAAATTTAATTTTCTCCAATGGAGTGTCACTGGGTATATCAACTACACACAGTTCAGGCCCCATGCCCAGAAGTTGAACAATACAAAACAGACTACATGGTTGGTTTTTTTGTTTGTTTTTGTTTTGCACACATTTTGTTTGTTTTGATAATTTTTGTCTTATGGGGTTTTGGTTTGATTTCTTTTTTTTTTTAAATAGAGGGCAGAACTTAAAGTTGGGTGGGCAGGGAGGTAAGAAGGACCTAGAAGAAGTTGGAGGAGGGGAAAGAATATACTTCAAAATATATTGTATGAAAAAATTTAATTAATAGAAAATCTACTCTTCCACCTCCATAACTTATCATTAGTAACAGTGACTATCATGCCAGCTCCACATACCTAAGTACTTGAAATAAGTCGTTTCCTTACTACCTTTTCTTGCCTAGTATTTTAGGCCCTACTTAAATTCTATTATCCTGTTTCATCTAAATGTAGCATCATTCTCCTTTCTTATGAAGCAAGACACAACAGAATCTCAGATAATTTGATTGCTATATTTAAGTCATTAATTTGATTTCACAAATCATCGATCTGCCAATTAATCAACATTAGAAAAAAATGTCATTATATATTTAAGCTACTAAGAGTCAAATCTCTGACCTGAAAGTCTCCTTCCTGAGGACTAGCTTTCATTGTACCAGAGAGCAATAGTCAAGCTACCAAGGGAGGGAAGCAAACAATGGTTCTGGCCAGCTATGATGCCCTTAAAGCACAATAGCCTGCATGGTGTGATAACTGTAAGGGTGCAATAGTGGCATGCAAACCTTGGCTGTAACCAACAGCTGTCTAATTGGAGTTAAAGCCCACTCAACAGGAGGGAAATAATGCCTGGTGCTGAAAATAAAGCCAACCACCCAGGGCTAGTGAAGTCATGGATCTTAGAGGAGAACCCTTCACTTTACTAAACCAGCATAATTCCTAACTACATTCTAAATATTCATTCTTATACCCATAGACAAGTAGTTTTCACCCCTTATCAAAGAAACTTCTCTCTGCAACAGAAGTAGAACATTATAGAAAACCGTAATAGATCAAATGCAGCAAACAAAAGTCCATGTGGTATCCAGTCCCACTGAATACATCTACGACACAATTCTTGCACCTAGGGCACAAGGATCATTGAAGGAAAGAGAGGGACAGAAAGATCTTTAAGAGCCAGAGGAAGAGGAAGTTTACTGTGAAACTGTGTTTCCTAGAAATGTCAGGCTTACCAATATGTCTGCCTAAGCAAGACCTAAACAATGACCACATCAATGGGCATAATGACATGGCAGGGGAACTATGGACAACTGGGAAATGCTGAGAGAGGAAGAAATGGTCCTTGATTGGTTAGCCAATGCCAAATGATCAGCCCTGAAATCATACACATACAAGTAAGAGAATACTAAGTAGGTTATATTTAGGAACATACGTAACAACACTCAAAAAATGGCCATGAATTCGAGAGTAAGAGGGATGTGTAGGAGGGATTGGAGGAATGAATGGAAAGGGGGAACTAATATAATTGTAAGTCAAAATATTAAAATTTATCATTAAATAATTTTTTTAATAAAATAAAGCTAAGTATTAACTTTAAAAGAGTCAGACCTCTACTGAGCAGTGACCAGATTTACCTGACTAGTACTTACCTATAATTAGGCCTTAACATCAAGTTCATGTGAAAATGAGTTCTATTGCTTACTAAAAACAAATTCATTTAAAACATACAGATTCTAACAGGATACTAGGGTCATCACTATGGCAAGAAAGACAAAAATAAAAAATTGAAATGGATTTAATACCCACCTGACAGATAAATAATTCAATTACCAAGTATCCATTAACTATCTACTTTGTACCCAAAAAGGCTACTGAAAGAAAAACAAAACTCTAAAACTCAAAGAAAACAACAAAACTAGTGAGCACAAAACAATAAATGTTATGAAAAAAAAAAAATGGACTAAGGACCAGTGAGGTGGCTCAGAGTATAAGGTGCTGATTTCCAAGCCTTATAACCCGAGTTGTGAGGGGACCCATATTAAAGGAAAGAACCAATTCCTGAAAGCTGCCTTCTGCCCCTTACAAATGCAGCACAGCATATGTGTGGACACACAGCTAAACACACACACACCCCTTAAAAAAAAAAAAAATGGGTAAAAAATGTAAAAGAAATATATCACTCTGCCTAAAGGATTGGTTAACATTAGCATCCAGGCATTGGTGGCATAAGCCTTTAATCCCAGCACTGTTGGAGGCCGAGGCAGGTGGATCTCTGTGAGTTCAAGGCTAGCCTGGTTTACAGAGCTAGTTCCAGGACAGCTAGGGCTAGCTATACGGAGAAACCTTGTCCTGGAGAACCAAATATAGAAACAAATACATACATACATACACACATACACACATACACACACACATACATACATACATAGAGTGCCACTGTCACCTACTAACCTTCTCAAGAACAAAACACTGCAGGTATTACCTAACTCACGCTAACCTTTCCTTTATAATATTACCAAAACTCATCAGCTGACAGACACCTCTCCAGTCAAATCCATCTGTGTGCATCAACTACTGTGATAAACACACTCTCCACATTTGCTCTTAACTCTGTACAAAGGCAAAGCAATCATACCACATTTTGCATGCCAACTCGTGTCTCTCCTCTGCTCAAGATTCTCCAATTGTTCCCAATGCAACCCAGACCAAAACAAACATCTTAACATGGCCTATATGGTTATGAGCCTTGTATCCCTCTAAACTTGTTTCTTTCCATTCTTCCTCCACTTACTTTTACCACTCCTAGTCATGATAGCTTTTTTCTTGTCTTGTTGGACACGTAGGCTCCTCTTCTCATCAGGGTTTCTGAATTAACTATTCTTTCTGTTTGGAATAGTCTTTCTCTGGATTCTCTCATGGAATCCTCTAATTCAAGTAGAGCAATCTTCCCAACCTCCACCCATGCTATTGCTCTCTGTACTTTCAATTATGGGTCAAAAACAGGCTAAAATAACTCAAGTGGAAAATTCCAAACAGTGACAACTGACACGTTAAACCACACAGAGTCTGCACCTTTCCAATTCCACCTCACCTGGGACATGAACCATCCTTTTGTCTATGCATCCACATGCTCACTTCAGCATCCTGTTAATCACTCATTCAGCTGCTTGGGATACTAAAACTGTTAGGGTAGAGGAGTATTGAGGTCTGACTAAGCCTTACTTAACTTAAAAATGCCCTTAAAGCACAAAGGTCATGATGCTGACGATTCAGAGCCAGCACAAAGAAGCCATCACCTAGTTCCTTTCAGAAGAGTCACCATATGCTAAGGTTGATATGACTTACAACACAATAGTTATTTTGAGCATACTGGAATAATTTTTTTAGTGTACTGCTCTGCACTGTTATTGTTACTCACTTACTATGACTAACTTGGAAGTTAACTTTATTGTGCATATACATGTGGAGAAGCAAACAGAGTATATAGGGTTTAGTACTACCCAGTTTCAGGCATCTACAAGGGATCTTAGTGTATTCCAGTGGTCGAAAGAGGACTACTGTGTCAAATTATCCCTTGTAACAGAGTAGCTTTCCTTCACCACTGCCAGTCTCTTTCCTGTGATTTTCTATTGTCTTCTTAAAATTTCTTGTTAGCATCATCTGATTATTTTGCTGTATGATACTACCTGCCTACTGTCACTATGCCAAGACCTTTGAAGAAACCATGTATAAACTCTGTATCCTAAGTGCTAAGTGTCTGGAAAAGGATGTGGAGAAGCCAATAAACTTTTTTTTAAATTTATTTGATTGGTTTTGAGCCTCTACTTTAATGTCGCTTCTTCAGTCTTTCAAATAACATTAAATATGTAATTGTTGGCATCATTATTTATTGAATACCTAGCTTTTCCATGACAGAAGATTAGAGTCTATGTCTATTATGTTCACTTTCTTTCCCCAACCAGCCTAACACATTGTTTGGGATTGTCTTCTAAAAGCTGGAAAGAAAAATGGGAGAAGGTTGAAGAAGAAAGTGGGAGAGAGAATAAAAGATCTTAAAACTGAAGGGAGTATTTAAACTATATGCATGTACGTGTGTATCTCTACAACAGTGAAGACAAGAGGTAGTAAAATGAGTAAAAACTGCTCATTTTTCCTAACTTTTATACTTAATTCCTCTAAAACACACTTATTACACAATCCTGAAAACCTTCACTATCATAGCAGCTTTCCTCTTTATCTTGAATTCTAACTACCCACTTGTGTTTTCACATGCTACATCCAGGATGACAAAATCAAAATCTGTCCAACCAGAACATGAGATTTAGCAGCTTTCCTCTTTATCTTGAATTCTAACTACCCACTTGTGTTTTCATATGCTACATTCAGGATGACAAAATCAAAATCTGTCCAACCAGAACATGAGATTAGTTCACATAACCTAGCATCTTAAGAAATAACTATATAATATATGATTGATTTATTGAAACCAAGTTAACATCTGATCTTGCAGTGAAAACTTTCTTGGAAATTAAAAACTTAACAGCAGAAACAAAAATCTAAGTAGAATTCAATGGGGGACGGGGGGATGGGGGGGGGGAAGACCTCCCAGAAAGAAGAGATGGAAAATTAGGGTAAATCCAGATTTTACAGGACTAGTACAATACATCAATAAGAGATAAAAAGAGAAGCAGAAAAAAAAAAAAAAAAAAAAAAAAAAAAAAAAAAAAAAAAGGCTCTCAAGTCATGAAGCCCAGGTGTTTTTTGGTTCACTCCTGTACTACTGATCACATCAACCCCATCTGACCTTTTGCCTTTCTTACAGTCCACTCAACTGCCACTTCTTTTCTAAAAACCAGATCTGCACAGTAATCTACTGCTCAAGAACCTTCTTATGGATGCCCACTGTTCACATGAATGTGCACAGTGTTTAAGATGAAGGTCTTTTTCCGTGGCATTATTTCCATCATTTCCTACAGACCACAATATGACTGGGGGGGGCCTAACTAAATCACTGAAATTAATCATCCCTAAATCACTATTTCCAATAGATTTACTAGTATTTAAGCATCTGATCAAGGCAAGAAAACCACTGAACAACAACCATAAAATTCATTCAGAATGAATCAATCAGAAATGGAGAAAAATTAATGACTTCCTCGAAAACAATCAAAAAGAACTCAAAAAATATTCAACAGATAGCCTATATGTAAAATAGATACCTATAGCTTTCAAGAGAAGCTAACCCTAGTAGTTTCTTATTTCACTGTTTACAAATCTAAGATGACCATTTAAAAGAGTAAATATTACCAAGTACTTTCAAAATATTAATAACAGAACAAGAACCAAATACTTACCTATAATAGGATATAAATTAAAATTAAAGTCTCTATACAGAATTGTACAGACAGCAGCTACATCTGCGGATACAGCACATAAGCCAGCATTTTGGTGTCCTCAAAAGGGCACAGAGTTCTATATCTAGGCCACAAAGTCCCTGAGGTATATAACCTAAAGCTAAGGAAAGGAAAGGCTACCCAACCAAACCTCAGGAAAAGCAGCAATGAAATGTAGTATTCTTTGGACCCACATGGAGAAACCAGAGGTCAGACCTGATGTCACATGATCCTGTCAACCTTCATGTCACTTACATGGACCTACTCCTTTTAAACCTCGGAGGCTCTGCTCAATTTTAAGAGGTTGTCAGAGAACATCTAAAATTCTTGAAAACACCTTAACTATAAGCTATTGCACCAATGAGACTTCATTGTCAGAGAATAAACATTGTTACCATCCCTCCTGCTTTTTTAAGAACTGGGGAAACAAAAGGTTTTCCCAATTTTACTAAGAATAAGAGTAAAATGTACAATGAGTGCTGAGCCTGCAGCCATGACCTTCATATCCCACAAATATGTACTATCCTTAGGTCACAACATACGGCAAAGAAATTTTATTTGGTGTTTGTTAGTATGATAGGCTATAAATTCACATGCTTACAAAAGTTAACAACAATCAACAAAGATGTAAGTCACCAGGAAGCTGAAGGTTTGGGGGGAAAAAAGGTACCTATTTCCACTTTAATTTTCTCCCCTGAACAGAGCAGACTCAAGAACAAAATGAGAGCAACCAAGGATAATTTACTAAAATTCACCTTAAAAAGATTGAATCTGCCATCTTGGATCTCTGCACCTGGTGTAACTTCCATAGTACAGTCTTCGGCCTAAGTTAAATAACATATTCCCCATTAAGATACCACACAATTTTTAATTGATAGGCCACATAAAGACAAACTAGCTGTGGCTAGTCTGTGATTTGAACTAAGAACACACGATAATCATTAACATGGAACTGAAGGGGAAGGGGAAATAAACAAACATGGTCAAGACAACAAAAAAATTAAACTGTCATACAGCATTTAATCACCTTTGTAGGGGAAAAGTGACTTATTTGGGGAGTCAAAGTGCAATAGTAGAAGAGGCAGGGTTACTCTGGAAGATTTACTAATTACCGTAATTTTATTTGTTGTTGAAGTAACTGGTATAACTTCAAGTCCCATTCGTATCCTCTTTTGTTTTTCACAGTAAGCTTTCCAAGTATCTTCATTAAAGCCATAATTGAAATAATCAGAAAGATCAGCACCTAAAGATAAAATAAACTTTTAGAATACAAATATTTTAACTCTATGGCAGCATCAAAATATAGTTCAGTATAAAAATGTAGATTTAGAGAAGGTATGAAAATAGAAGGGGAACAAACTCTGAAGAGGAAGGTTATTAGGGTATTGGTGGGGGTTGGAGGGGGTCAAAGAGGACAAAGCAGTGAACATGTTCAAAAGACTGTATACATATGAGAAAAGGTTACCACAATGAAGCAGACTGAAAAACATTTTGATCAAAATGATTTCCTTTAGAAATGACATTATACTAAATAATGTGAGTCCACATTTATGTTAATTCCAGTGACTTAATGAGGTTTTAATAATGCCAGTACTCAGTATTCATTGTTTGCTTAGAACAATAAAAAAAGACATCATGAAAGGCAGCATTTTATACTGCCACTCAAAAATACTTTTCTGATCATTTTACACTAAAAATCTGTTTTTGAGATAACTGTACTCCCAAATAATCTTACCAGGTTTCCGCCATGGTTTATCTTCAAAAGAATCCAAATCTACTTCCAACAGTGGCACTCCATTAATGCTGCCAGGTGCATCAAGGTCTACCCCTTTGACTTTGGTTCCTAATTTAAAGAAATGCAAAATGGCAAAGAAGCTACCTTAGCAAGAAGGAGAAGACAAAAAGAGGAAACAAATGTCCCTTTACCATCCATCCTGACCATTAATAAAACTAGATAAAGTCAGACTTTGTGATGAAACTTTTAAGACGAACAAAATGGAAAAGTTATGCATTTAGATATTATGGCCTAGCATGGCAGCACATGCCTAACATCTATGCACTTGAGAAATGGAGACAGGAGGACCAGGAACTAAAGGCAAGTTTTGGGTACACAGCTAGGTCAAGGATAGGTCCTGAGATACTATCTCAGGAAACAAAAACAAAAGATTACTACATCAATGGAATTGCTAATGCCATCTGTTAAATTGCTGTTTTATATAATTTGTGGGCAAAGAAGTTTCTCTTAAAGGGTTCTAAAACAAGCAAAGCAGCACAAGCAGAACAGGCGGAATGTCTGCTGTCTGAGATGTTTTTCACAGAAGGAGTCTGCATATGTGTCAGTCAAACATTACTCATGAAAAGAGCTGATACAATCTACTCGGGACCTGAGATATCATGCCATTTTTTCATACTTATACAGATGCAAATACAAGTTTTACCTGTATTTCCATACACTCTTCCCCCTGTCTTGATATTAAGATTTACTGGCGCTGTTCCATAACTCCTAAAAATATAATAAAAATTAACCTCAAAAACACACAGTAACAAAATAGAAATATTCAACATGTTATAAACCCACATAGTGAGTGAACGAATTGGCACTCACAAACATATTAATTTTTAAAGATTTTTTCAGTTTTACAGGATAAAAACTAAAATTTGTTTAGATTTACTTTATGTGTATGACTGTTTTGCCTACACGTATGTATATCACAAGAGTGCTTGGTGTCCAAAGAGGTCAGAAGAGGGCACTGGATTCCCTGGAACTGGAGTTATGGATAATTGTGAGTGCTGGAACTGAACCCATGTCTTCTGTAAGAACAAGTGCTAAGGCATCGCTCCAGCCCCAAGAACTTTTTTTTTTTAAATGCCTGACATTTTTCCATCTCAAGTCTCCCACCTACTAACTTAATATGCCACTATAGCAAAATCACAAGGAACATCTTTGTTATCTACCAGTTCCTTAACATCTAGCAATCCTACAACAGTGAAAGCTCCATGACACACTGCCAAATCCCATGGACCCACTTTAGTCTTTCTCACATCTTATACCACCAATCAAATCTCTTTCCAATACACATGGAGTGTTTCGTTCATAAAAATGAATTCACTTTGAAGAAACATGAAAGAACGAATCTGGAGTATAAGGGAAACAGTGGTAACTTAAAGGGGAAGGACACCTGCAGTATTCCACATTTTTGTTAGGGCTGTGACTGCAGGAATACATATATATTCATATGACAAATAACTGAAGTTAAACCAACCTATGTTCATACACAATTAGTTGTGCAACTTTGAGCAAGTTACCCCAACTGCCACAAACTTTGTATAATTTTCTTTAAAAATAAATTTACCGCTGAGCATAGTAGTGCACACCGTTAATCCCAGAACTGAGAAGGTAAAGGTAGGAGGATCTCTGTGAGTTTGAGGTCTGCATGGTCTACAAAATGAATTCCAGAAAGGCAAGGACTACATAGAGAGACTCTGTCTCAAAAATCAAACAAACAAAAAACAAAACAATAACAACAAAAAGAGTACCATTTTTTAATAAAGTAGAAAAATCAAAATCAAGTATTAGTGCTAACTGAATTAGTGCTAAGTTTTCAACACTGTGGGACAGAGAAAAAGAGATTCAAGGGACCAAGTAAGAATGATTTGTAGTGAACAGAAAGATATTAGTAAGCTTTCAGATCCTACTCAAGACTTTCAAAGATTTATGTTTCATATCATATTCATGCTACTTCACTGGACTCTTTTCCCTTAAAATTTCAGCTAACCAGACCTATGCTGATTCCAGCTTTTGTTCTGCTCACTAATTTTCTTTGTAGGCTGTGGTGAAGAAGTACTTGCCTAGCATGTGCAAGGAAGGCTCTGAGTTCAAGACCTACAGCTGCCAAAATAGACATTGACTGCATGTTTTATCTTTGATAAAACAGTTCAACATCCCTTCAATAAAAATCCCGAAGAAATCAGAAATAGAAGGAAAGTATAGCAAAGCAGCATGACATTCAAACACACAGTCAACATTGTATAGGACTACAATTCTACTAAAGTCAGTAATGAAACATGCATGTCCTCACTTTCTACTCTTTATAGGGCTTAAAGTTTTAGCTTTAGAAAAGGGAAAGAAGGGAAGGAGAGATGGCTCAGAGGTTCAGAGCATTGGCTGGTCTTTCAGAGGTCCTGAGTTCAATTCCCAGCATCCACATGGTGGCTTACAACCATCTGTAATGAGATCTGGTGTCCTTTTCTGGCCTGCAAGCAGACATGCAGGCAGAACACTGTATACATAATAAATAAATCTTAAAAAAAAGAAAGGGAAAGAAAATGGAGGAGGAAGTCAATATCTCTATTAGCAAATAATATGATTTATTTGTAGAAGACCCTCCAGGCTCTACCAGAAAATTCAGTAGACAGGATGTAATATATATTTGTCAAGAAACAAAATTTATTAATATTAATTTTTTTAAAAAATACGTATCACTCCTATATACTAATAAGGAACCTAGTGAGAAAGAAACCAGGAAATCAATCCCTTACTAATAACAAAAGAAAAAAGAAAACCTAAGAAGTAAAAGACCTCTTCAATGAAAAATTTTTTTTATGAAATCACAGTATTATCAAAAGCAATCTATAGATCTGATTCAATACAATCCCCATCAAAATAACAGTGACATTCTTCACAAAAGAAGAAAAATCCTAAAATTTATACGGGAACATGAAAGACCTCACAGCAATCTCAAACAAGAACAATGCCAGAAACACGATCATACCAGATGGTAATACTATAGAGCAGTAACAAAAACAGACATTAGATCAATGGACAGAGGATTCAGGAATAACCTCACACAATATAGTCACCTGAGCTTCAACAAAGACATCAACATTACAACAAATGATATTAGAGAAACTGAATGGGCACCTATAGAAGAGAATAACTAAATCCTTATATCTCACCCTGAACAAAACTATCAATCTGGTCAAAGACTTTACTATAAAACTTGAAATTCTTAAACAGCTATGCTATGGAAAACAAGAGGCACTACCAAGTTCTATCTGAAAATGAGTACGATAGTTTAAGAAGTAAAACCAAGAAGTGACAAATGGAATTACATGACATTCAAACTCTTTCAAATATCACTCAGTGAAGAGGGCCTACAACACATCTGACAAAGAATTAATATACAGAAGATATAAAGAACTCAAAAGCAAAAACCCATACAATCCAATCCATAAACAGACTAATGAAACAATGAATAGTTCTTATAGTCAATAAGTATCTTAGCCATCAGGACAACATTGAGATCCCACTTTGTTCCATTCAAAATGATTAATGATTACAAAGAAAAAAAAATTCCCACCAAAGACAAAGGAAAAAGTTTCAGTAGTCATCTTATATAACTAATTAAAAAAAAAAACCACGATACTCTTAATTCTACCACAATAGCAAAACCAAAATCCATTTTAATTCTTTCTTCCCATCCCTCAAGATCCCTATGTGTTCAGTGAGTCAACAATAGTCCATTTACTTGGCCCAGATTATGGAACATAAATGTTGCTACCAACACACTAGCCTAAAAAGCCTGACAGATAATTAACTCAAAAAAAAAAAAAAGTGACCAAGAAGAAATGTGTTACTTTGTATTGGATATAAAAATTAAAGATCTAAACTAAGATTTTATATAACAAAAGAATGACACAAATGTAAATGGTAATTTAGGTGTTCCATTTCCAACCAAAGAACTCATAGTAGTCAGTTCTCTAGCAAAAATATTTTAAATACAGCAATCAGATATGGCTGCTTCCATTTACCTACAGAATTAACAGTAGGTAGAAAGTAATTAAACACCTGTTGAAACTGTAACAAGTTCTTTCATACCATGGAAAGATGGAAAAATGTATCAATAGAATCAACCACTTACAATCTAAGCACATCTTCACAAAGTAGTATTCATAAAAGTGTAACGTGGGGCTGCCAAGGTAAAGGCACTTGTAGCCAAGCCCCAATGACTAAAGTGGAAATCAGAACTGACTTTTATAAGGAGTTCTCTGACCTATACATGCAAACCATGGCACACATGACCCCTGTCAAATAAGGTAAAAATAACTTACCCATACTGTGGTGCTCCAGTTTTAATGTCTCCTATAGTGACATGAACATCATCCTCATCATCGTCACTGTCACTGTCACTATCATCTTCAGTCTCAGTCACTTTCTATACCAACAAACAATTACAAAATGCATTCAATAATCCAAATCCTCATCATCGTCACTGTCACTGTCACTATCATCTTCAGTCTCAGTCACTTTCTATACCAACAATTACAAAATGCATTCAATAATCCAATTCAGCATTTAATATTAACAAATAAAAATTAATTATTCTTAATCCCAGCACTCAGGAGGCAGAGGCAGGCTGATCTCTGTGAGGAGTTTGAGGTCAGCCTGGTCTACAGAGCAAGTTCCAGGACAGACTCCAATGCAATACACAGAAACCCTGTCTAGAAAAACAAACAAACAAAAAATAACTATTCCATGTTTTTTTTTTTGAAATTGTTTAAGAGTAAAAATTACAAGCTCACAAAATTATTACCCCAACTTTGATGGTCTACAATAATTGAGCTTATGAATAAGAAACAGAACTTTTATTGCCATCTTTCAGAGAACACATGCTTCATGTTTTCAATGCTTTTAACTATTTGGTGATTTTTAATACTGACATTGAATCTCACAAATGTTTTACTCATAAGAACTTCTCAAGTACTTATTTCTAAATAATTCTATCTTATAGATACATTTCCTTAGATTCATTTTGCAAGGCCATCAGTTATAGTAAGAGACTCTACATACAAATGAAAAAAATAAGCATTATTATCTTTTTTCTTACTATAATGGATCTGCTTACAACGGTTTTAGTATGGATCTATAAGATTGTTCTTTTTAGTTACATGGTAGTAGGTAATCATATCATCAAAGCAAATACTTTCTTGGTTATAGTTTTAAGCTCAAAAACAACAAACAAACACAAGTTTCCTTCTCTGTTCAGAATTAAAATGTACAACTCTCAGAGGGCACCAAGTACCATTTCAGTAGCCAGAGTCAGGAATATACCCTTTAGACAGCATTCCTAAGAAACTGTAAGAGACAGTTCAGGTTGTGGACTCAATGACGGCTTTGGAAATAAAGCTTACTTATGATAGTCTGTTGATCAACAACTATTTAGTTATTTGAAAACAATAAACAGCAAAAGCCTTTGCATCTACTGTATGTCCTCTGAAGTTTCTTCCCAGTATTTTTTCTCCTCCCTAAGTCCTACATATTCTTTTGATAATATTAGATGAAGCAGTTGACAAAGAAGGGGTCAAGTCATACAGGATACTGAAAATTATGTTAAATGTTGGTTTTATTTGTAAATAAACTAAAGTTCTTAACAGAGATTTTAAACATCAAGTAACTGGATTTCAAAGTCTGATATGTATGTTACCGGTTTGGACACGCCATTTTCAGCAGCTTCCTCTTCAATTCCAGCTGGAGGATTAGCACTGCAACAAAAGAGAGCAAGCGGACAGGTTGGGTGCTGCTGCTTCAAGAATGGATTACAATAGTTCCAAGCTATTTTTGGGAGGATTTCTTAAAGTTATCTCTACTGGACGAGGAGAACAAAACTGTCTAGTTTTCCTGTGGGTGCTGCTGCTTCAAGAATGGATTACAATAGTTCCAAGCTATTTTTGGTAGGATTTCTTAAAGTTATCTCTACTGGATGAGGAGAACAAAACTGTCTAGTTTTCCTGGTAGTGTACATAAAGCAAGTATTCAGATGGAAGTAAGGATTGGGGTTACTTGGTTTTTTGATACAGACTCTCTGAATTTACCATGTAGACCTTTCAGCTCCTTATCACTAGTAAAATATATGAATGATAAAAATCAAATATAAAAGATAAATGCCCTCCCATGAGATGTGACACACATAGCTCTTCAAATGAAATTAACAACAAATATAGGCAACAGTAATAGAAGAAGGCAGAAGTGGATTAACTCCAATGAACTATCAGGCTGTGTCCCCGAGAATTCAAGAAAGAACTTTGAGGAAGGAGAGCTGGTTCAGAGCATGTATTGCTCTTCCAGGATCTAGGTTTGAGTCCCAACACCCACTCACAACCATCTGAAAAGCAGCCCCAGCAAATGCAACGCCTTCTATCTTCCACAGGCACCAGGCATTGAACATGGTACATGAACATACATCCAGGAAAAACACCAACACACATAAAATTAAAATAAATAAATAAATAAATAACCCCATCAAAGTGAACTTAGAATTGTAGTTAAGTAATAAATCTCAGAGATAAGGATTAGCCTATAAAAACGTGTATGTTATTATAATTCTAACCTGCAACCAACTTCTTGACACTTAATGAAACGGTTATGCAAAAACACTTTTTCCTTGTTTTTTCAAGACAGGGTTTTGTTGTATAACCTTGGCAGCTCTGGAACTTGGTCTGTAAACCAGAGTGGCCTCTGACTCATAGAGATCTGCCTGCCATGGCCTTCTAAGTGCTGGGACTAATGACCTGTCAGATAATACAGAAATGAGTGGAAGAAAAAGAGGGCATATCTGGAAGAACACTGCTAATTTCAGCTCTGCCGAAGCTATTTCCACTTGCACTCCTTATTTCCATGTATCTGTCTTTTGGGGTTTAGCTTCCTTTTCATCCTATTTTATTTTTTGGATGCAAAAGAATTTACTTGTAATGGACCACTGACAATTCATTTTAGAGACAATGTTAACACATAACTTGTATCTGTTCATTAAAGACTACACTTAAAGGGATATGTTTTGTTCACAGTGTAACCATTATGTTATGAAATCCTAGAATGAATAAAGGGACTCCTAAAAGAAATCTCATATCACCAGTCACCCCACCTCCTATCCCACAATACTGTTCTGTCTCTACAGATTTGCTTATTCTGGATACTTTATACGTGTTCACCCATGTTGTAGCAAGTCAGTACTTGATTTCCTCCCACCATGAAATATCCCCGTAAGGGTATACTGCATCAAATCTATTCATTTGTATGTTTGTGGATAGGTGGGTTATTTCCATTTTCCCAACTAGCTATGGTTAATGCTAAGAACACTAATGTTCAAGTTCTTATGTTCATGTATATTTTTACTTCTCTAAGTAAAAATGAGTAGAACTATGACCATGTGAGGAGTATGTAAGGATACCAGAGTATCCTTCCAAGAAGGAATACCACTTTACAGTAGCATCAATAGTGTGTAAACGGTCCAGTTCCTCCCTGTCCTCACTATTGATGTTCTACCTTTTGGATTATTCTGCTAGGCTAGGTATCCTCATATTATCCCTTCCACTTGAAAATAGAAATATTCTTTAAATGTTCTGTGTGTGTGATACATGCGTGTCCGGGTTTGTGCATGCATGCCGTGTGGAGGCCCAAAACATCAGGAATCTTCCCAGTAGCGTTCCACCTTTATCTCTTCTTTTTTAGACAGTCTCTCATTGAACCTGGAGTTCACCAATATAGAGTGGATGGCGAGTGAGAGCTAGAGATCCTGCTGTCTAAGTCTCTCCTAAGATACATTCACTATGTCCACATGCTTCTGCTGCATGCATTTCATCAACTGAGCTACTTCTCCAGTCTTTGATTACTCTTTTTAAAAAGAATCCTCCCCAGGCTGGAGAGATGGCTCGGTGGTTAAGTTATGTGGTTCCAGAGGACGCAGGTTCAATTCCCAGCACCCACTGGCAGCTCAAGACTGTAACTCCAGCTCCAGGATACCTGACACCCTCATGCAGGCCAAACATCAATGCATACAAATTCAAAAAAACAAAACAACAAACAAGCAAACAAACAAAAAAACCAAAACCACTCCTCCCCTCATTATTCAGACAGTCTTCTGAGCAAAGTAAAGCCAATTTAGCCATGTGCTTATATGCATGAAATGAAATTTTGAGCAAATAAATGTTTGGTTCCCTGAACACACACTGTAAAATTCAAAGCTTTGGGTAGTAACAAAAGAAATAAAAAAATTTTAAAAAACCACATAAGAAATAAACTTCTAAAAAAATTATCTATTGTGTGTATGGTAGAGCAGCATCGCTCCCTTCCAAAAATTAGTTCCATTTAAATTTAAATAAATATAGAGCTCTAAAATTACAGCCAACCCAGGCATTGTGGCACAGGCCTTTAATCCTAGTATTTAGGAAGCAGAGTCAGGCAGATGTCTGTGGGTTCAAGGACAGCCTCATCTACAAAGGCATTTTCCATGCCCATGAAGCTATCTCAAAAAAAAAAAAAAAAAAAAAGAAATTACACCAAAAGTAAATGATATTGTAAAAACATTAATAAGTTACAAAAGCAACAATTTTAAGTTATTATTTAAAATCTTGCAGGAAATTATTTTTTTCTCAGTAATTCAACAACATTCAGCCCAGGTCTGGTGGCACACGCCTTTAGTCCCAGCACTCAAAAGGCAGAGAGGCAGGTGGATCTCTGAGTTCAAGGCCAGTCTGGCCTACAAATTGAGTTCCAAGACAGCCAGGCTACATAGACTACACAGATAAACCTTGTTTGGGGAAAAAACAACAACAAAATAAAACCAACCAACTACATTATATACTCCACTACTAACCTCAGTTAAGAGCAGAAAGTACTCAATGGTGTACAGTTGGCACTTAACTCCAAAAACTGTCTTATAAGCTACTAGAAGGCAACACAGAACTGGTCCTGAAATAGAATCAGTCCTCCAAACTTTGGTCAAAATGTAATTAAGCCAGGGACTGTATTGAAACAGTGGACAACTTGCTAGAATCACAATCTACATAAAACATCAACAGGAAAGTTCACCAACCTGGCATTTTCTTCTTCTGGCCTTTCAACTTCATTTTCATCTACCAAATAAAATAATAAAATAAAGTAAATAAAGAAATCAATCTTAAATCAGCAAATATTATAAAAATCTGAAGGAAACAAGCACTAACCTAGATCCTTTGCCAAATCACTGTGCACATGCACGTCCCATGGGCCTACAAGCATAGCCAAAGTTAGAACACTTTATAAACAGAATACATCCATTATGGAAAAAAAATCAAGATTTCAACGCTATATACCCTTAATTTAAGAGGTAATGTGGATTTACACATCTTGGTACAAGAAACCCCCGCACATTTCACATGTTAAGGGTAGTGCTGATGCTATTATCTTTCCATTAAAGAAATAGATAAATTTACAAATTTATCAGTTACATCACTAAAGGGCTGCCTAGATTCCAACGTGTATAATATTCTCAAACAGTCAAGAATTTATGTTCTAAGCAAGAACAAAATACTTTCAAATCTGGTATAACAGACAAGGGGGATTACGACTTAAAGTTAAAATCCAAACATAAAACATGTCCCCTACATAACCAAAGTACATGATGCATTAAACTTAGGCAAACCGACACTGAAGACAAGCCTACGGGAAGAGTCACGAGGTACAACTATGACGTGGACTATAGAGCAGTCTCTTAAAAAAATTAAAACTTCACCTTAATACAGGAGACAATTCAGGGTTTTCTTTATGGGCCATAGTGTATTCCATCTGTCTCTCTTAATTAAAATTTTTAAAGCACGACTTTCAGACAAGGAGGTACCCTTGCAGGTGCATTCCATACAAACTGACCATCAAGAAACAAGACGTTAGTTTTATAGCATTAACTTTATTTAGCCGTAATTACAGAATGACTGTTTCTGAAAGAAAGAGACGAGAAAGGGCACCCAACAACCACCGAGCAAGAAACACACCGAAGCAGCTCAGGATCGATAGAAAGGGCATGAATAGAGAGCGCAGAAGCGAGGAGGCCGGGACGGTGGGGAGGAGGGCGAAGCGGGGCTGCCCGGCCTCCTTGGCCCGCGTCCACCGCGCGGTGAGCGGCTGCGGGTCCAGGCGAGGGCCGGGAGGAGCAGGCCGCGCTCGGCCTAACTCAGGCCGGCCAGTGCTAGTACGAGAGGCCCCGGACGCCTGGGCCTGCGACGCCGGGAGGAAGGCCAGAGAGAACCCGGGAGACAGACAGGAAGTTCCGTACCGCCATACAGCCACTCTTCCTCCTCATCCCCTCCGGTCCCGCTGCTCAGCTCCACCAGGCGCTCGACCTC